GTAAATACTTTCTATAGAATAAAGGAACATATTACTATTACATTCAAAGCATCAGAAAACAATTTACAATCTGCATTATCAAATCTAAGGGCTTTACATTCTCTGTCTAAATGTAGAGAAAAACAACAAACAAAGTTAAAAACCTTGGCATTATACTAAATTTCCTTTGACCAGAAATTGGCCATTTGGAGTGCCTCTGGTGTCTCTGTAAGAAGGTCCTCCATTGTGCATGTGGTGGGGCTTAGACTGTATTGTAGTAAGTGGTCTGTGGTTTGCTCTTCTCCACACTCGCATGTCGTGGGCTCCACTTTGAAGTCCCATTTCTTAAGGTTAGCTTTGCATCTCATGGTGCCAGAGCGCAGTCTGTTCAGCACCCTCCAAGTCACCCAGGAAGTTTCTCATCTGGTATCAGTCACTGCTTGAGGTTCTGGGTTTTTGCCTGCCACTTTTGGACTCTCGCTTGCTGACATGTTCCTGTGAATATCTCTGTAAATCTTAGGAAGCTATTTCTTGATTTAAGGCATTGGCTTGCTGACTGCTACCCAAACAGGGGATGGGCCAGAGATGTCAGTGCCTTGGTTCTTTCATTACAGGCTGCTACTTCCCAGTGGATGTCAAGTGGTGCAATACCAGCTAAACAGTATAAATTATCCAGTGGTGTAGGGCGCTGGGTCTTTGGCTTGGAAATGAAGATAAGCAATAACCCCCAGATTCGGACACAACTGGACTTCATGTCAGGGGAAAACCTTTACCACACACACACTTATTTACCCTCTAACTCAGGCATGGGCAAACTTGGTCCGTCTGGCTGTTTTGGACTTTAACTCCTACAATTCCAGCTGTTAGAAATTGTGGGAGTTGAGGTCCAAATCACCCGGACAGGCCAAGTTTGCTCATGCCTGCTCTTACTAATACTACAACAAAACTGTTTTGTAAATATTAGAAAGATCAAGACAGAAAGATAACACAAATTAGCAGGAGCCTTCTTTTTTTGGATTACAAGTATCAAATTTCCCCAGCAACCAATTGCCAGTCTGAAGTCAGCTGTAGCACCTTCTATGACATTAGACCAATCTTGGGTAGGTCCTGTAATTTGGGGAAGCATTCTGCAAGTGAAAAGAGTCCTGGATCAACCCTGCCATCTAATGCAGTTCCAAAGTTCATTATATGGCAGTGTAGATCCAGCCATAGATGAGGAAATCTAAAGAGACTCATGTTGAAATCTCACTCTGCCTTCTTCAAAGCCAAAAAACTTTCTGTGCTTCTTAGGGAAGGATGTAGGAAAGCATCTAATTCACTGAAACAAAACATATGCTTTTGGAGGTGAAGGGAAATTTGTTTAGCACCTCAGTGCTTCAAAATAACAGCAGGATGAACTTATGGGAAGCAGGTGGGGGGAGTCACACTGAGCCTGGTAATTGCTGATAATTGTCTTCTTAATTGTTTAAGAACCAGCTTTGACATTGCTTTTACGCTGCACAGGAAATCCACCTGTGAAAAATCTGTTCGCACAAGAGAGAAATATAGGCAGACTCACAAACTCTAGTATAACAGGGTCTCTTCAAGCCACTCGTTGCCTTCTTAGCTCTGTTTTAAGTGCTGTTGCTTAATTCTATTGCACTTTATGACATAGGATCAAATTTGCTGTTGGGTCATTAATTTACACATGTGCCAACCCATGCATAGCAATAGTTTTCAGATGCTGTATTTCCCATGCTAGTTGCAATAATAGTGGGCTGCTATTAGGCCTTCTCAGTCAGGGCAACTACTTTGGAATATGCCCTGCATATCATGGGTGCATCTACACCAGTGGTTCTCAACCTTCCTAATGCCGTGACCCCTTAATACAGTTCCTCATGTTGTGTTGACCCCCAACCATAAAATTATTTCCATTGCTACTTCATAACTGTGATTTTGCAACTGTTATGTATCATCATATGAATATCTGTAATTTTGCTACTGTTATGAACGGACCAAATTTTAATACTGGTGGGGTTGGGGGATTGATTTTGTCATTTGGGAGTTGTAGTTGCTGGGATTTATAGTTCACCTACAATCAAAGAGCACTCCACCAATGATGGAATTGAACCAAACTTGGCACACAGAACTCCCATGACCAAGAGAAAATACTGGAATGGTTTGGTGGGCACTGACCTTGAGTTTTGGAGTTGTAGTTCACCTACATCCTGAGAGCACTGTGGACTCAAACAATGGATCAGGACCAAATTTGGCAGAAATACTCAATATGCCCAAATGTAAACACTAGTAGAGTTTGGGGGAAGTAGACCTTGACATTTGGGAGTTGTTGCTGGGATGTATAGTTCACCTACAATCAAAGAATATTCTGAATCCCACCAATGATAGAATTGGGCCAGACTTTGCACACAGAATCCCCATGACCAACAGAAAATACTGTGCTTTCTGATGGTCTTTGGCGACCCCTCTGACACCCCCTCGCGACCCCCCACAGGGGTCCCAACCCCCAGGTTGAGAACCACTGATCTACACCATAGAATTAATGCAGTTTGATATTGCTTTAACTGCTACGGTTCAATGCTATGGGATTGTGGGAACTGTAGTTTTGCAAGATCTTTATTCTTTTCTGCCAAACTGCATTAATTCTACAGTGTAGATGCAATCAGGGATACTATTGCACCCGGACACAACTGTCCTGGAGGCTCCCTTGAAGGTTCATTTGATGTCATTGTGGCACTGAGAAAACACCCTTCTTGCAAATTCTTCCAGGCATTTTTGTGAGGTTTTTTTCCAGTGATTACTTTCGATGCTACATTTTGGATTCTAGTGTTGTGTTCGTTTTACGGTTCTCATTTTATTATTATTTTGGTTCCATTGTTTTATTTTTGCTTTTACTGCTGCTTTGGGGGAAAAAAATTAGTTTAGCGTATATGTGTTTTAAGCATGGGATATAAATAACTAAAACAAACCTGTTTGCCAATTACATATAATCTTCCAGAGGATTAAAAAAAACCCAAGCCAGTTCCAGTTTTATGATTCCAGATTCTGAATGAGGATATTGGAGCATATAATTGGAAGCCTGTTCCAGATGATGAAATGATTATCAAGGCATTGCTCATTTTAATCAAAGGATTATTGCACAAGAGTGGAATGATGGGGAAGGGAATTAATACTGACCTGTGGTATTTAGAAGAGAAGAGAAAGCAAATTGATAAATATCAAGAAGAATTGGTCTGCTGGATGAAGTGCAAAAGAAACTGGAAACATCCAATGGGAAAGAGAGACTGAAGGTGTTTGTAGAAATGAGACAGTTGGAGACCACTTTGAGTACCATGGTGCAGTGCTATGAAATCCTGGGAGATGCAGATTTGCGTGGACTTTCACCTTATTTGTTGCACCAAACTAATGTTTATTCATTCAATCACTTCCGACTCTTCATGACCTCATGGACCAGTCCATGCCAGAGCTCCCTGTCAACTGTCACCACCCCCAGCTCTTTCAAATTCAAGCCAGTCACTTCAAGGATACTATCCATCCATCTTGCCCTTAGTCGGCCTCTCTTTTTTTCCTTCCATTTTCCCCAGCATCATTGTATTCTCCAAGCTTTCCTGTTTTCTCATTATGTGGCCAAAGTACTTCATCTTTGCCTCTAGTATCCTTCCCTCCAATGAGCAGCTGGGCTTTATTTCTTGAAGTATGAACTGGTTGGATCTTCTCGCGGTCCAAGGCAATCTCAGAATTTTCCTCCAGCTCCACAGTTCAAAAGTATCTGTCTTCCTTCACCCAGCCTTCTTTATGGTCCAGCTCTCACATTCATAGGTTACCACAGGGAATGCCATTGCTTTAATTATGTGGATTTTCATTTCCAGTGTGATGTCTCTAATCTTCACTATTTTATCGAGATGGGTCATTGCTCTCCTCCCAAGAAGTAAACATGTTCTATTTCCTGGCTGCAGTCTGCATCTGCAATAATCTTCTCACCTAGAAATGCAGTCTGTCACTGCCTCCATGTTTTCTCCCTTTATTTGCCAGTTCTCAATCAGCCTGGTTGCCATAATCTTGGTTTTTTTTATGCTTAACTGCAACCCAGCTTTTGCACTTTCTTCTTTCATCTTGGTTAGAAGGCTCCTCAGCTCCTCCTTGCTTTCAGCCATCACATTAACAACCATCTAAGGTTGTTAATGTTTCTTCCAGCAATTTTAACTCCAGCCTTGGATTCACCAAGCCCCTCACGTCGCATAATGTGTTCTGCATACAAGTTGAATAGGTCTATAGATTCCACAAACTATAGATCCCACAATGTCATAGCATTGAGCCAGGGCAAAGTGATGACAAACTACAGTAATTTTACCGTATAGATGCAAAAAATCAACGCACAAGCACAAACCTGGGAGACCACACGTTTTTGAAATCCCTGCAGATTAACCTGCAAATTGCTGTTAACTGATGATGGCCATACAAATATTTTAGTCAAAGTTCTTTGGGATAGTTTCAGGATTAAACCCCTTTTACAGTGCCCATATCCACAAATTTTGTAGCCATGGTTTTACTTAGTCACACTCCAAAAATATTTCCCCTAGTAGTATTTGTTGGGTTTCTCTAGGGCCTCTGGTGCAATTCTGTGGTACACTTCTATCCCAAGTAGAGTCAGTGTTAGCTCTTAACTATGGTTTCCATGTATCAGTGGGTGAGTACCTTGGTATGTGATGCTATTACAATATTGTAATTTCCTTTATTCGCCATATGTTGCACGGAAAATATTCAAAGAGTTGGAAGAGACCACAAGGGCCATCCAGTCCAGGAATAATGCAGAAGAGAAGGTGATCAATTCTACAATTGGAGTATGAGTAAATAACTTTTCTATCAGGGTTGGGTAGTCAGGTCAGGTCATACTTGGTTGGGTATAGTTAATAAGTAGCCGTGTAGATTGTCAGCTTTTTAGAAAAGACTTTGAAATAGGGACCCAATCCCATCCTTGCACAATAAGACTTTAATAAAACGTGTGATACTTCTTCTCTCTGCAGATTGTCACCCCCTGTGTGATCAGTGTGTTGCAGATCTCCAGGACACGGGAAGTACCTGCTTAAAGTGCCAAAATCCCCATCACTCTCTCCTGAAAGATCTCTGTGTACCAGAATGTCCTGCAGGATACTACATGGTTGACGGAGCATGTCAAAGTGAGTAATGTCTGCAAAACAGAGGGAGCAATGGAGCGATCCGCGTGTGCCCATGAATATTGTATTGGATAAATAATGTTCCCAGTATACGCATGCATTCTTGGCAGCCTTAATGATAGAATTATTCATAAGAACCTAAAGAGATTCCTGCTGAATCAGACCAAAGGTCCCACAAGTCCAGCATTGTGAATCCCTCAGTGGCCGGCTGGAGGACTACGGGAAACATAAATAAAATGTAAACACAGCAGAACCTAAGCACTGTTGTTCCCAGTGACTAGTAAAGGAATCAAAAACTAGGGAACACCCAATAAATGCTGCAGACTTATTTAAGTTTCTCAAAATGTGAATTGTTTACATTTGGTCCCTCATTTGTGGATGTAAGTTTTGTAGATTTGATTATTCGCAGATTTGAATAATAGGTTCCCTCTTGGAATCTCTAGTTTCTCCAGAATGACTCTATGGTGAACTTCTGGTGGAGTTTGACCATAAAGTTGTACTAGAGGATCTAGGGCCTCACTTCTCGAGGCATTTATAGGTTCTCCAGCTCTATTCTGTGGTCATCTTCTAGTGGAAATTGCACTGCAGAACCTAGAGTCAGAATGCACAACACTCTGGAGGACCTAGAAATTAGACATTCCTAGAAATATGTTATCTCTGATAAGAAAAAATAGCATTTTTATTCACAATTTTCCCATTTTGAAGAGGGTCCTGCACTCCTAACTCCCAAGAAAGTGGAAGGCCTTCTGTACTGCTAACACATCCAATGTGTTTTGGCCTCTGTTTGCTCTCAGAGGCCTTCTTCAAAAGAGATGTAACTTCAGAAATTTCTGGAGCTGAAACCCTTACATCAAAGAGGAGTACCAATAAGCACGCCTATATAATGGAATTAATATAGAGTCCCGGCTAGTAGCCATTGATAGTTGATGTTCCCTGTTTTCAGAGAAGCTGCTTCAGAGGTTATTATTTCCACTTGTCTTGTCTGCAGGGTGTCATCCTTCATGTAAGACGTGTTTGGGAGGAGGCCCTCTCTCCTGCACCTCCTGCGCCTCCAGCCTCGTCCTTTCTCACATTGGAACCTGCATCTTGGCTTGTTTCCTTGGGTTCTACAGGGATGAGAACGGGCATTGCCAACGTATGTATATTCTTGGTGTGTGGTTCATGCTGAGTTTCTTAATAACTTTGTTCACTGCATGGCTTTCTTAGCATAAATCTCCACATGTGGAATTATGCACTGATTTTGCAACACCACTTCTACATTTAATGGCAGTGTTGTGCATCTAAACATCTAATCAAAAATGGGATGCAGATGTTCAATGTGTCTGCTTCACTCTTGATTCTGCAACCTTGGACTGAATGTGGATGTTCTGCATCAGACGAAAATGGCAATAATCTCTCTGGAAACCTATACATGTGTGGGATAGAAGAATTCTGGCTAATATGTAATTGTGCTACAGAAGCTATAGTCTAGGAAGATGTGAGATCCATATCTCTTGATAGGGTGTTTGCCTGGCAAGGTATCAACCATTTCTGATTCTGTGTTTTTTCAATAATTCCAATAATTCCTTTCTAGGCAGGGTGATATTATTACTGAGCTGTAATCATTTAGATATAGTCTAACTCCAGTGGCTGTCCAAGTTGAGTAGGCCCACCGAATTAATGGTTGACTCATGCATCAACACTCACATACCCAACGGTACTGACTGTTCCAGTGTATATGAATAATTGCATGGAGCAAATACTTACAGAGCTCAGAAATATATATTGGGGGGGGGGGGGGGGTCTTGCCATGCCGGCTGGGGCATTTTGGGAACTGCAGTCCAAAAGGTACCTTTTCCTAGCTGATCTCCTTTTTTGTGGATTTTGTTGTGTTTTACTGCATGGCTCACACAGTTACCCCAAATATGTTTCCTAGAGAAGTTACGTAAGGGTCTGTTGAAATGACATAGATGCTTTTATGTCTTCCTGGTGGATCAGATAAAAGCATTGCCACAAGATGGGTTTTAAAGTTTGTTTTACATTCACAAAGAGTACTCTTCCATTTTAAAGTGATTTGGTCAAGCCATTTTGGCCCTGTTTAGGTTAGGGGAACTAACCAGAAGATCTCAGGATGTGAGTTTTTAAAAATAATCCAAGATGCGCTGAAAGCACTTTCTCTGCAGATAGAAATTGCTTTTAACACACACTTTAAAAATGCTGTAAATTTAGTAGAGAGAGTGAATGAGGGAGTGAGAAAGCTCTGCTCTCTGCTATATTAAATCCAGAACAGCTAACAGCTCTTGGAGCAGGCATTCCCCATTGTTGATTTGGGCAACTTTTCCCACTCTCCGTTGCTGCTGCGCTTTAAATAAGCCATTAAGAGTGACTAGCTTTCCCAACTTGTTACTATCCTCTGGGGTTACCAGAGGAGCTGCATTTCTGAGTTGGATGCAAACCTTTTAGTATCCTCATAGCTTCTATCTTGGTTGCAAAGGAGGGACACACTGAATGCACTTGATGGATGGCTGACACTTAAAGTATCTGGCTGCATTCCTTGAATTGGCATGAGTGGCATAACTTTTATTACTTTACCTGCCTTCACAGTTGTTAATCAGAGTTTAAGTATTTTGGATTTTCATTGTACTTGTTTTCCTTTACACTTTACAAATGTTAGCTGCTTTTTTGTCAAGAGACAAATAATAACATAATAACAATGTATAATGGAACAATGTAGAACAGAACATCAGTGTATTTTAGTAAGCGATGGTTTTTCACGAAGCACATGAACAGAACATACAACAGTTCTTTCCACCCCGGTTCCCGCATAGCTCTTGCTTTCCAGTTTGTTCCACTGTGGTTTTACATATAATCTGTGGTGATAACCTTTTGTCAACATTAACTATGAGTCATTTCAAATAATCTATCTCCTAACTATGTTTTCTTGGACTAACTTTTAAAATCAGTTGGAACTAATATTAACCATAGTTCCAGGTATGGATAGCACAGAAAATTGTTTTGACTATAAATAGGAACTCTGTCTTCCAGTTGATACCACCCAGCAGCATGCACATTGAAATAGCCCAGTTTTACCAATATCAGATCTTCTAAATGTTTGATTTAGATCCAGTTCTTAGTTGCAAGCAGGTAAGAATACTGAGTCAATGGGAACTGGGTAAATTAATCCTAGCATTATAGAGTTGGAAGATACTACAAAGGCCATCCAGTCCAACCCCCCCGCCATGCAGGGAAATACAGTCAAAGGACTTGCATACATTTGATTGATTTGTGGGTCTGTTCCAATTGAAACTGGGAAATAAATTTGAGTCTCTGATTACAACTTCCACTACTTTTCACTTTTGGCCAGGCTGGTTGGGGTTGATGGTGTTGCAACTCATAGTAAGCTTCACCTTGCTTCCAAACACCACCACACAAGAGCTGTAGTTTTATAGTTTATTGAGGAAAAAATCCAAGTCAAAATAAAGAATAAGCATTGCAAAGTTCCAAAGAATAAGATTAAATGCAGAATATAGTTCCAAAGACCTTCAGGTGAAAACAGGAGACACAATCCTATTGGCAAAGTTCAAACCAGGGTCCCAGGTACAAGCAATGAAACAATTGCCCCATGAATCACAATGCAAGAAATCCCAAGCGTACTGCTTTCCAGGCTAAGGTTATTCTATGTAGCTTCCAGATTAGTGAGCTACGTTGAACTGATGCTTTCTCAGAGTTTGTAAAAGGCCTAAATACCTTTCTAACATGAAAACATTAGGCTCTCATCATCATAAAAGCATTGCGATGACCTTTCACCGAGCTGGCTTCTCGCCTGCTGGCAAGACGAGGACTCTGCCTGACCTGGAGATTAAGGCGAGCTTTCCGGGTCAAGTCATTATCTACACTTTCGGTATCAGTGTGGGAAGGCACCTGCTCGCTATCTCCTTCGTTAAAATTCCTTTCTGGTGGAAACGGCTGTGTTGACACTGCACTGTCTGTGGGAACCTCAGAAGCAGGCCCAGAGATTTGAGGCAAAGACAAAGAGCCAGGAAGCTGAATCTCAGCAGGAATCTGAATCCCATCATCCTCATCATCAGAAAATAGCTCAGCCACAACAGATGGTAGATACCAAGAATATCTGAAGGAACTCAAGACAAGGAAGGCTGTACACAACTTTAGTTTGTGAAAATTTAGTTTGTGAAGAAGAACCTGGAAGAATGGCCCTATTTTTGAAAATAATGTTTATATTCTAGATCTAGTCCTCCAGGTGTTTTGGGTCTCAATGCCCAAAGGCCTCAGCTCCTTTGGCCAATGATGAAGGATTCTGTGACCTGAAGTCCAAAGCACCTGGAAAATAAGAGTTTGGAAACACTGCTTTAGATGCTTTAAAATGTTGTTCCTCATCTTAAGTCCCAAGGAAAATGAGTAAGAAGAGTCCAAATGAAAAAGGCACTCTGATCCTACAGATGTTTTTGGTCTACAATTCACCTTTTCAGTTACAGTCCAAGGCCACAATTGTCTAACTTTGAAATGAAACAGAAACCTGACCATTTCCTTCATAAGGATTAATAGTGTAATCAATAGTGTAATCTGAGATAATTCCATTATGGACTAGATTGGGAAATGTATAATTTTTAGGAGCCTTCACAAAAATCCATTTTTATGTTTAAAAATGCTTATGTCAAGTAATGCAAGTAAGCTTTAAAGGATAAAGACGACTTTGTCTTAGCTTACAGAGTATGATGTATTTGAGTTTTCCTTGCCATTTTTGAATAATGTGTAACTGTAACATTTTGAAGTTTGCAAATGTACCTCATCAGACACCCAGTTATTAGCATTTTCTCTGCATTGGTAATCCACACATCTTTTTAGATGTTTTGCAAATGTTAATTAACATTTGTGACACCCCTCTGGAATTGATAGTCAGATGCTGTAGCGTGGAAAATTATGTATATAATAAATTTATAGATAGAGAATTGGATGTGCAATAGTGTCTCGATGGATAAAAAAATATGTAACTAAGTGAAAAAGGTTTGTACAGCAGAGGCCTCAGTTTTTGGAGAGACATGGCGTGAAAACCCTGTAGTTCTCTTCATGTATTTAGAAAGGTATAGTCCTTCTAAAAGTAATAACTACCAAAGTCATTGCATGTCTGAATGTCTTGCCTTATCGACATGCAAAAATGTTGATGTGTCTAGGGGAATAGGTTTCCCCTAATTTGCAACCTTTCCAAATGTGGGAAACTAAATTGCTGCAAACAATCAAATTCCTATTTCATTGTGAAGAGTATCAACACCATCAAAAATGGTACATTCAACTCACCTTTGAAAAAGAGGATGAATTCACATCAACGGGACACTGTAAATAGGAATATGAACCAATGCACCTATTTGCTTTAATGTTAGGAGTGGAGAGTACTGCTTCTGATAATTCCTTTCTTTGATAATGTGGAAAATTGCTGATTCTCATTGAAGGGCTGGGAACAATATTGAAAATGATTTGGAAAATGATCAAAAACATGTTTCTTGGTGTTTAGGAAACCTTGACAAGGCTATTAAGAATTTTCACAGTTTGGAACTTATTCTGCACAAATTTCACAGTGAGGCTGTTTTTCTTTTGGTTTTGCACAGAAAACACATTTTCTCTGCATGAAACAGTCGTCTCTGTGTAGTAAGTAATATTTGTATGAATAAATATTATTTTCATCAGTCTCCAAGCATTAAAATTATTTGCGTGGATTAAGTTCCTAAATGCAGCATTTTCAGTCTAGAAACAGCATGTTCTGTGTAGAAAATATTTGTGTGCAAAATGTATTAATGTCTGTGCAGAAAAATGCTTTTTTTCCTGGGAAGAAAATTGTATTTTTTGAGACTGATTGAACAGGAATTCGTACTGTTCATAGTGCAAAAGGGGCGATAATCCACATTTGCAACACTTACACAATGCCTTGAAATGTTTAAACTGTTTTGCATATAGTCCAGATCAAAATTTGGTTATTGTTGCTTATATAGTGTGGATTGGGTGGAGTTAATAATATTGATAGTGACCAAAAGATAACCACTTATCATCCTTTCATGATACCCATGCACCTCAGTTGACCAAATGGCAGAAGTGCTCTCCCTTTCACAATCTAAGAATAACTCAAGTTTGTCTTTTTGAAACTCTTCCTCTCCAGCTTGCAGTGATCCGTGCCTGAGCTGTGATTCAGCAACCAGTTGTACATCCTGCCGAGACCCCTCAAAAGTCTTGCTCTTTGGGGAGTGCCAATACGAGACCTGTGCTCCACAGTACTATCTCGACTTCTCCACCAAGACCTGCAAAGGTGAATGAAATACACAGATATTCTCATCTCACATCATCATAATAAGGATTAGCCAGACTTAAAAGTATAGTTTGAATCATAGTGATGTCCTCTCCGGAGGTCTTCTTCTTTGATCTCTCTGTCCTTCATTGCCCTATTTTGCCCTCCTCCAGATTTTTTTCTTTCCTGTTATCTACTGCCATGGGCTTCAGCTTTCAGTAAGAAAAACAGATTATTGCAAATCCTATCCATGGTAAATGATTGAGTGAGTGAACCGTCACACTCTTCCAAGGGTCAAGATTTGTAATTTGTATCTGCTACCGATTCAACTGAATGATGAGAGAGTTTAACTTTCTAAATCCTCCTTTCACCCCCTTTGACATTTATATAAAATTTTGTATGTTAAGTGGATTTTTCTCTTGATTTATGATCCTACCAAGGATGAATATACATATTTCAAGATGATCAGTGTTATTAACATGAACTTTTAGTGATTCCTGTCTGTTCCATGTGTCATTTTCCATGAAGAAAAACTGAGCTTGTTTTGGCTATGCTTTTTATAGATTTGTGCAAAGATCATGTTTCAAATATATCACCATTACCAGAGATTTCAGTCCATGCTCTTTGAAGCATTTGCTGTATTAGTTATCTTGAGACAACTGCTTTGCTAGTATTCTTTTCTGATCATTAAAAGGAAAGTCCAAGGTTGAAGCAAATTGAAAATCAGGAGCAAGGGCCCATGATTAATAAGGCTCACCTTCTTCCATCAAGATATAGACAAGTTGAGATCTAGATGCACTGCAAACCTTCCAGAAATCGAGAGGAAAGGGATACTTACATTTGGTCACTGCTTCCTCTAAAGAAATAAAAGGAAAAAAAATCCAGCAACCTTTGGGATTGTGCAATGAGACAGCGATAGGAACCCTTAGTATGCCAACCAAATTCGACACAGTTGTTGAGACAGTTTTAACTAGAGGATTTTAATGTCAAGATAAGTGATTTTCATGCTTTTGTATGTGTATGGTCTAGTATGTTTCAGCATTGAATGTTTGCTGTTCAGGCCAGGGGGGGGGGGGGGGAGGGGTTCAACCCCCCCCTGAAATTTTTCAGGTTAAAAAAAACCTGGTTTACTCATGAATTTTAACTGATCCCATATCAACAAAATAGTTGTGGCCCTTCTTTAAAGATGAGAGTAAAACTCTATCCTATCTCCGTAGGTTCTGTCAAACTACGCCATACATTTAGAACAGTCTTTTTTGCTCTTGGTCAAGTGGCTTCCATTGTTGTCTTCTTCCATATATTTTCCCAATCTCATTTTCTTTAGTAAAGGCTTTCCTCAGCTTCTCAAGCATCACTTCACCTACCTGCCCATTACCATCTATTTTCTTCTTTCCTGTCTCCATTGTTTCACCTTTAGTAATAGAGTCTCTAAGAGGCAAGGCCAAAATATCTCTGCAGTGTGGGCTGGGAGGCCACACATAAGGGCTCTTATACTTTTAACGTTGTGTGGAAGAATGGGTTTAATTGACCTAAAGTTCTGAGCATCACAATTTAAAAATATAATTGAACAAGAATTTATCCAGAAAGCAAAAACTGGAAAGCCTTGTGAGGAGTTGGTGTGGTGGTGATATATGTTTAGGCTGGAAAATAAATTATGAAGAGTTATGATAACCATCTGGAGGGCTGTCGGTGAACAGTGGAGCAATATTGTAATGTTTTCAGTTGTTCTACTGAATAGAACCAGAACTAGTCAATCTGAGTTACTAAACAGGATATTCTGACTAACAATTGTGAAAAGTGGGTTGCTGTGAGTTTTCCTGGATGTAGGAAATGGCTGTATTGCAGCCTTCACACTTGCCTCAAGCAGACAAAAGTTCTTTCTCCCACCCTGGACATTCCACAGATATATAAACCCCATTTGCCTAGTTTCTAACAGACCCCTCAACCTCTGAGGATGCCTGCCATAGATGTGGGAGAAACATCAGGAGAGAATGCTTCTGAAAGATGACCATACAACCCGGAAAACTCACAGCAACCCAGTGATTCTGGCCATGAAAGGCTTTGACAACAAATTGTGAAAAGTTTCCTGATGTTCTTCCTGGACAATGTAGTGAAGTGCCTTGCAGAGTGACAGGTTCTACTTCATTACATTTTTTGGTTATTTTTATTTATTTAAGATTGTGTGACCACCTGTGGTGGATACTTCCTACATTAGTAGGGGATTAGACTAGATTACTGTATTGTGGAGAACAAGGCCTATGAGGAGCGGCTTAAGGAGCTGTACATGTTTAACCTGAAGAAGAGAAGGCTGAGAGGAGGCATGTTGGCCGTGCATAAGTATGTGAGAGGAAACCACAGGGAGGAGGGAGCAAGCTTGTTTTCTGCTTCCTTGGAGACTAGTGAGAGCCGTTCAGCAGTGGAACTCTCTGCCCCGGAGCGTGGTGGAGGTTCCTTCTTTGGAAGCTTTTAAACAGAGGCTGGATGGCCATCTGTCAGGGGTGATTTAAAAGCAATATTCCTGCTTCTTGGCCGGGGGTTGGATTGGATGGCCCATGAGGACTCTTCCAACTCTTTGATTCTATGATTTTGGAATCCAGGATAATCCTATGCCTATTTTGGTTAATTTTTGTACACTGAAGTCAGATGAAGTCACATTTTGGAATAATAGTAGAGGATGAAAGCTCTATGCAGGATTTTTTCTCATATCCAAAACCCCATCCCTGTGTTTCTTACCTTGTAGAGTATAGTCCCCTTTCACCAGGCACAACATCACTTCTCCATCTAGTGAAACCCCGAGTGTGTTCCTAAAAATGAACATTTAGCAGTATTCCTAATTGTGCAGTTCTTTACTGTACTTTGTGCAGTTATTATGTGCTTCTCTCCCAGGAGGTTTCTGCCGGCTGCCTAGAATGGCGGGCGAGCTGAGAAACGCCTGTGCCTACCCATTATTAACTTTGCGCCATTCCCTTCTGAAATTCATTCTGACTGTGAGGCAATGTCACCTTCGTCATCAATTCAGCCTGTTTAATTAGCTTTGCTTGAGGGAAATCCCCAAAGCCCCTGCGAAATATGAGCTGTATGGTTTCACCACGTGGTGGGATATACCAGGGAGCAACATGTGTTTGTATTCGGTGTTGTCCAAATGCAGCTGTAAACACCTGTAGGTTGTAACTGCTTGGCTGGACCTTTGAAGGGCAGCAGCCCGTGCCCGTGTTTAACATAATTGGGAAATGTTAAACCCTGGAGGAAAATTCGTGTTATTCTAAGCCAATCTCCTTAGGCCTTTTCTATCCTATTCTACATCTGTTCTGCCGTTCATTCTCTGCCCTTCAGTAACTCTGCAATCAGGAGCTGTGTTTTATATTAAAATGTTTGGCTGTAGGGGAGCAAACAGTGGCTCCATTGGGAGTGTTTTCTGTCTTTTTCTTTATTCTAAGAGTGCGACTGGAGCTGCAATGCCTGCAACGGACCCCAGAGTGACGACTGCCTGCAGTGCATGGAGGGGTATGTGCTCCACGATGGCGCTTGCTTGGAACACTGCCCACCATCTTTTTACAGTGGATCTGAAATGTGCCAGAGTAAGTCTTCATGATTTTATGAATGGGGCAGGCTTTGAAAAGGTTATTTTTTGGGAAGGGGTACATTCGTGGATATTATTGTTGAATGACAATGCTTCGAGTATTCTAGCCAGCATGACCAGTGGCTGTGATAGCTAGTGAATCCTGGAGATTGTAGTTCAAAAAGTAATTTTAAGAGTATAAGTTTGATGTGAAACGACATGTGATTGTCGAAGGCTTTCATGGCTGGAATCACTAGGTTCTTGTGAGTTTTTTCGGGCTATAGAGCCATGTTCTAGAGGCATTTCTCCTGACGTTTCGCCTACATCTATGGCAAGCATCCTCAGAGGTAGTGAGGTCTGTTGGAACTAGGAAAATGGGTTTATATATCTGTGGAATGGCTGGGGTGGGGCAAAGAGCCTTTCTCTGCTGGAGCTAGGTGTGACTGTTTCAAATGACCACCTTCATTAGCATTTGAAGGCCTGGCTGAGCCTGGGAAAATCAACAGCAGAGAGGAAACAACCAGGCACATCTTAACACCTCTCAGCAAGAGATTTTCCCAGGCTCAGCCAGGCCTTCAAATGCTAATGAAGGTGGTCAGTTGAAACATTCACACCTAGCTCCAGCAGAGAAAAGCTCTTTGCCCCACCCCAGCCATTCCACAGATATATAAACCCATTGTCCTAATTCCAACAGACCTCACTACCTCTGAGGATGCTTGCCATAGATGCAGGCGAAATGTCAGGAGAAATGCCTCTAGAACATGGCCCTATAGCCCGAAAAAACCCACAAGAACCTAGGATATATGATTGTTATGTTTTGTCTATTCACCCCCTGGCAAGTACTATTACATACTGACGTAGTGGGTTAAACCCCTGTGCCGGCAGGACTGAAGACTGACAGGTCGCAGGTTCGAATCCGGGGAGAGGCGGATGAGCTCCCTCTCTCAGCTCCAGCTCCTCATGCGGGGAGATACAGAATGGGGGACGCCTGGCTCGAGAGCAGTACATGTGAAAAAGATCTTGGAGTCCTTGTGGACAACAAGTTAAACATGAGCCAAAAATGTGATGTGGCGGCAAAAAAAGCCAATGGGATTTTGGCCTGCATCAATAGGAGCATAGTGTCTAGATCTAGGGAAGTAATGCTACCCCTCTATTCTGCTTTGGTTAGACCACACCTGGAATAGTGTGTCCAATTCTGGGCACCACAATTCAAGAGAGATATTGACAAGCTGGAATGTGTCCAGAGGAGGGTGACTAAAATGATCAAGGGTCTGGAGAACAAGCCCTATGAGGAGCGGCTTAAGGAACTGGGCATGTTTAGCCTGAAGAAGAGAAGGCTGAGAGGAGATATGATAGCCATGTATAAATATGTGAGAGGAAGCCACAGGGAGGAGGGAGCAAGCTTGTTTTCTGCTTCCCTGAAGACTAGGACACGAAACAATGGCTTCAAACTACAAGAGAGGAGATTCCATCTGAACATGAGGAAGAACTTCCTGACTGTGAGAGCCGTTCAGCAGTGGAACTCTCTGCCCCGGAGTGTGGTGGAGGCTCCTTCTTTGGAAGCTTTTAAACAGAGGCTGGATGGCCATCTGTCGGGGTGATTTGAATGCAATATTCCTGCTTCTTGGCAGGGGGTTGGACTGGATGGCCCATGAGGTCTCTTCCAACTCTTTGATTCTATGATTCTATCACAGCTGCCTCACCCCACAAGGTTGATAAAACATCAAATCATCCGGGCATCCTCTGGGCAACGTCCTTGCAGACAGCCAATTCTCTCACACCAGAAGTGACTTGCAGTTTCTCAAGTCACTTCTGACATGATAAAAAAAATGATTAGACAGAGTGCATCTTGGGTCCCACATCTGGTAGTTTCCATGTTAATGAATCCAGTCTTGGTCATAGGCAGGATTTTAAAGCACCTATCCAAGGTGCGGAAGTCTATTCTTAAAATATATTCATCTTCCTGGATAGGTCTTTGCCATGTTCACAAGCTTGGGAGATATTTTGGTTCTCTCCCAGACAGGTAGCAACAAAAACAACAGCAACAACTTTATTTGTATACCCTGCCTCTATCTCCCAAAGGGGCTTGGGGCTGTTTACACATAGGACAAAATGTCCACAGAACATGAAAGCAAAACAATCCATTAAAAAAAAACACAATTAAAGTAAAACATAGCAAACCATAACAATCAGATAAAAAAAAACCCAATTGAGTAAAACATAAGGGACTCATTCAAACAATGCATGACAAAAAAACCAATAACTAGTAATACTGAGATGGGCATGATCAGGCTATAACAAGGGCCAGGCATGGTATAGTGCAAAACAGTGTAGCATGGGGTGGCTGGATTGGAAAAAGTGCAGAGAACACAGTACTCTCTGTCCAACTAAGGACTGGGCATTTATAAGTAGGGACTAGTCATTCTCAAATGCTAGTTGGATCATGCGGGTTTTCAAATCCCTACTAAAAGAGGACAGTGTAGAGGCTTGCCTAATTTCCCTGGGAAGGGTATTCCAAAGTCAGGGAGCCACTATTGAGATGGCCCTCTCCCCCGTCCCCGCCAGCCGTGTATGTGACAGTGATGGGAGTGAGAGGAGGGCCTCCCCAGTGGATCTTAGAGCCCATGCCGGGGGAGAGATGGAGTCACAAAGATAGGTGGGGCCCAAACTATTGAGGGCTTTGTAGGCCATAACCTGCATCTTGACCTGGGACCAGAAACTTAATGGTAGCCAGTGGAGCTGCTTTAATAAGGGTGTTGTGAGCTCCTTATAATTAACTCCAGTTAGAAACCTGACTGCCGACCTTTGTACTAATTGCAGTTTTCAGGCCGTCTTCATAGGCTGCTCCACATAAAGTGCATTGCCTTAATCAATCTGAATGTTACCAAGGCATGAACCACTGTGGCCAAGTCAGGCTTCTTGAGATATGGTCGCAGCTGGTGCACAAGCTAAGACCATGGGAATGCTGATTGTTGCTATGCATCACCTTAGATCTCCTGCATTGGCCTATTTATGAAAAACCAAATAAGATTCTGTTCTAGCAACAACAAGAAGGTATAGTGAAGGTTGCAAAAACACCTGAGGAAAAAGGGCATGTGAGCTAGCGGTCTCTGCATAATGCCACGAGCTTCTTGGGATCAGGACGTAATGAGAAGGTGGGACAGTGAGTGGAGATGAAGAGATATATCATATTGTACATTTATGTCTTGAAGAAATCATTCTGAAGTGTTGTGTCTGTGGCTTTCCAGGATGTGATGATGACCGTTGTCTCCAGTGTCATGGCACCAGCAAGTGCACCCACTGCAATGCCCCATTCTTCCTCTTGGGATCACAGTGCGTCTCCACGTGTGGGAAGCAATATTATGCCGACTATAGAGAACAAAAATGCTCAGGTGAATAAAGAAATGCCAGAGAAACTGGTGGTAGGGAATAAGACCTTTTTCCATTGTGGTGGGATATGTAGGGTGAAACATTCAATGCATAGCATGTAGCTCTGTTTGCACTTCTGAATCATTGACCATTAATAAAACACAACAGGGATTTTGCTTTTGAAGAAGAAGATCCACTAGTAGTGTTTGATCTTCCTTTGAAGAGCCGTGGCATTTTCTTTTTCATGCTAGCTTGCCCAGAGGGATGCTTGGAATGCGATCAGTCAGGCCGGTGCCACATTTGTGATGCTACAACTTTTCTTCAAGGAGATCAGTGTGTGTCCCATTGCAATTATGGCTTCTATGGCAATCCTCAGAGCAGGGAATGTGAAAGTGAGTATCTTTCAGAATCTCTTGTACTTGGGCAGTGGGTTACTACTCTGTCTCTCTCCTCTTCCTCTCAGTTTGTCAGGAAGGCTGATGGCTATTGTTAAGGTCCTGGAAAAACTCCGATCGAGATTCCTATTTCCTACCCTTACGGAACTATAACTTCCCAAAAAGACAAGGTCATCTAATCACCTCTCAACAAAAGTTTGCTCCAGGCACTGTCGGCCCATTATATGCTAATCAGGGTGGTCAGTTGAAACATTCACACCTAGCTCCAGCAGACAAGAGTCCTTTGTCCCACCCTGGTCATTCCAAGGATATATAAACCCCTTTTCCTAGTTCCAACAGACCTCACTACCTCTGAGGATGCTTGCTATAGATGCAGGCGAAACGTCAGGAGAGAATGCCTCTAGACCATGGCCATATAGCCCGAAAAAACCTACAACAATCCACTTCCCAAATGGTTTAAAAATCATTTTCACAGTAGTATCTGTCCTTATTTTAGACATGCTTGCTTAAATATGGCTACTGCAATGCCCTCTGCTATATTATGGATGAGCAAGCATAGGTTGGGGATGATTGTATGTTGAACATGGGATGGCACTGGTCATGGCAAGAAATACAAATCTGTTCCATTTGTGGGAGAAAACCATTGAGTTGTTGGATCATAAAAATTTCAGTGAACTATAGAAGTCTATGTCTTATATATTAAAATAATTTTGTTTCTTTGCTTTACTTTAGCTGTCATGCACTCTCTGCTTCTCAGGACGAACAGCTCCCTCAGAGTTGGAATTGGTGGTGCGAAGCCATTCGATGTCTCCTTTCTGGGATTGCAGGACCCTGGTGGCTATGGTGAAGACCTGTTATTTCATGTGGTGGACTCTCCTACCAATGGCAGGCTAGTGACTTTGATTGATGGGAAGGAGAGTCTGCTGAACCAGGGTGATTATTTCACTGAAGAGGATGTGAAAAGGCATAGAGTTTTCTTTGTTCATGATAAGAAGAAATCCAGGTAATTTGATATTTCTTTACTCTTGCTGTAATAGAAGGATACTATCAAGTATAGGTTGAGCATCCCTTTTCTGGAATTTCAAAACCCAAAATTGTGCACATGGTTGGCTGAAATAGTTTTATTTTTTTAATTTTGTGTCAAAAGCATTGCATAGAATGTTGTAAAGCAATGTTTTTGTGTTGGAAAGATTAGCCATTTACAAGAAACATTTTCAAGGGGATGCTCAACTATATTTACTCAGTCTTTGAGGAGGCTCTTTCCATGTCCCCTGCCTGAAATAGTGACATACAGGCAGTCTCCAAGTTATGAACAAGATAGGTTCTATAGGTTTGTTCTTAAACTGAATTTGTTTATGAGTCAGAAATTTCTCCTTCACAATTATTGAAGGTACAAGAGACCTATCTATGGGTTGTTGTAGGTTTTTTCAGGCTATATGGCCATGTTCTAGAGGCATTCTCTCCTGACATTTCACCTGCATCTATGGCAAGCATCTTGAGAGGTAGTGAGGAGCCTTCAACAATACATAGACCTATCTATCTTCTCTATTACCTAGCAGTCCTGGTTGCTTTACAACAGTGGTTCCCAATCTTTGTGCCTCCAGGTGTTTTGGACTTCAACTCCCAGAAATCCCAGCCAGCTTACCAGATGTTATGAACTGTGGGAGCTGAAGTTCAAAACACCTGGAGGCCCAAAGGTTGGGAACTACTGCTCTACAAGGATGTGGTTGGGTTGCAAAGAGGAAGGTTAGCAAGATTTGAAGTGTTTCTATCCCAAATATGATGCTAATAGCATTAGTTCTACAGTTGTACAGTCACATTGGAAGTGGGCATTGCTTTCTGTTCAGAGTTAAATATCTTAAAAACCTCTGAATTAAAAATATACAGATTTCTGCTATTTAAAACTGATATTTTAAAGTGGTGGGAGTGATACCTGATGTAATTTTCATATACATTCAGATTTGAAGGTAGTCTATATTTGATATTTTTCAGGCTGCTATGATCTCTTGTCAAGTAGGTTTGGCAGGCTTATGGGAAAAAAATGTAATTTCTCCATATTTTTCTATAGTTGACCCACCTTATCCACAGGGGATTCGTTTCAGGACTCCCTGCAGGTGTCATAATTCATGGATGATTAAGTCCATTATATAAAATGGCTTAGTATATACTTTATTTGCAGCAATAACACCCCCGTCCCCAACACACACAAATACTCTTGTATACCAAACAGGAATGGGATGCAAAGCTGGAGAAGGACTGAGGATCTGTGAAGTGGTTGAGGCATGGCTTTGCACCAAACACTAAACTTGGATTCCCATCATTTCACAGATCTTCAATCTCTCTCCTGCCCATATATTGTTCATTAGCTACTTGCATTGTATGTTGTACATTGTGTATTTTAAACCCATAGTTGGTTGAACCATGGATCTCGAATCCACGGATCTGGAGAGCCAACTGTACTGTCTAGGTTAGCATGTGTCCTACTATTCCTATCAATTTATATAACTTTCTTTTTATGGTGATGGGTTTATACAGGAATGGACAATTTTCTCTAAAGATCAGCTATCAACAATTCTTCTCTGAACCAGAAACATTCACAGTTCAAGCCCAATCGAAACAGGTAATATAGAAGAGAACTGTGCTATCTATCTACCTATCTATCTACCTATCTATCTATCTATCTATCTATCTATCTATCTATCTATCTATCTTTGAACCAAAAAAGCTACATCTAGATTGTACATCTAGATTTATAGATAGTTGCCTTCAGGCTATTTTTGGCTTCATGCTTTGAAGCTGTCATCATTATTCAGGTAACCCTAACCCTACACCAATCCACCTAAGCACTTATTATATTTTGTCTTCTTCCTTTCCAGTTTTCTTTGTTGTTATTGTCCATTTTTCATAGATGGTAGTTTCTTTGGACAGTGAACCAGATCATTAACAGGCCATTGGAGAACTTGTGATTTATTTTCTCTCATTTATACCTTGAGTCCACCACTTATTTTTATATAAAAACGTTGGGTTTCCCTCTCCAACAAGGACAATGTTCATAATACGAAACTGGACCGTTGATGAATGCTAGATTTTGCATCTTGCGAATTTTGATGCCAGTTAAAACAAAACAAACCCCTTTTCCTCTCGTGCTGAATGAGATGAATCATAATACATCTCATATTTGAGGAGGGCACATATCTCTATGGCAGAATGTATCATTTGTGTGAGAAGATCTCAGATTCAATCCCTGGCATTTTTAGCTAAAATAATTGTGTGTTGAGAGAAAGCCGTTTGTCTCAGACCTTGAGGAGAATCCAACTGACACCAAATGTGAAGTTCTTCAGCCCATTTGTCATCAAATATGGTGGTTTGTCTTTGGCACTATCACCAAATGTGAGGGTTCTGTTCCTCTTTCCACCAAATGTGATGTTTCCAAAGTGTTTAGTGAGGAGCCCCTGGTAGCACAATGGGTTAAATACTTGTGCCAGAAGGACTGGTGACCAAAATTTATTATTATTTCGGTTGCTTCTACCCCGCCCTTCTCACCCCGGAGGGGACTCAGGGCGGCTTACAAAAGCAAGGCACAATTCGATGCCCGCATCACATAACAGCAATAAGACAAATAACATCAGTTAACAGAAACAGCAATTCTAGCAATAACATCAATTAACAGAAACAATAATTATTGTAATGCAAAAACAACCATAAAACCAGCAGAAGCACTAAAACCAATACAAACCATTCTTCTCATTGACGGTCAGCGTTTCGCAATCTCATAGTTCAAATTCCAGTCCACAATTGTCAGTCCTTTCAGTCCTATCCATCTGGTTGTCCATATCTAATTGTCAGATTGCCCAAAGGCCTGGTCCCACAACCACGTCTTTACCTTCCTCCTGAAGGAGAGGAGGGATGTTGATGCCCTAATTTCCCCCAGGAGTGAGTTCCACAGGTGAGGGGCCACCACTGAGAAGGCCCTGCTCCTCGTCCCCACCAGCCTCACTTGTGATAGCGGTGGGGTCGAGAGCAGGGCCTCCCCAGATGATCTCAAATTCCGGGGTGGGACGTAGAGGGAGATACGTTCGGACAGATACACTGGACCGGAACCGTAAAGGGTTTTGTAGGTCAAAACCAGCACCTTGAATTGTGCTTGGAACTGAACCGGCAGCCAGTGGAGTGGGGTGGTATGCTCCCTGTATGTCGCTCCGGTGAGTAATCTGGCTGCCAGCGGTTCAAAGGTCAGTGGTTCAAATCTAGGAAGTAGAGTGAACTCCCGTCTGTCAGCTCCAGTTTCTCATGCAAGGACATGAGAGAAGCTTCCCACAGGATGGTAAAACTTCTGGACGTCCCCTGGGCAACGTCCTTGCAGACAGCCAATTCTCTCACACCAGAAGCAACTTGTAGTTTCTTAAATTGCTCCTGACACAAAAAAGAAATTGAGGACTTTTCCTGATCTCCACTTTTGCCACAATAGAAGGACTTCTTCCAGTCTCCTCATTAATCCCACCTCTTTATAATATCAACTGTCTAATTGCCATTCATCATCTGCCATTCACTAACTTTATGCAAATTTCCTCAGACATTCCACCAATCAGCCTTCACTTCAACGTTCCTTCCTCCCAACAGCTCCTTACTTCATACTCTATTATACAAACAATAAATTAAAAGTGCTTGAAAAGTTACCGTAAAAATATAAATTAAAAAGTATAATTTCCAAGTAGTTACAGTTAATAGTTAAAATTTTTGAAAAGTTAGCATCACTTTCCTTTCTGGCTGTTCAGAACTTAATTAGATAGGTAGTTGTTAGTTCCTTTTTGAAAAAAAGCATCAGAATGCTGTAATCCATTGGGAGATGGTACAAAACAGTTTCAAATTACAGAGCCTAAGAAAAAGTTACACCTCAGAAAGAGTGAGATCGCCACTCACCATAAGAACCCCCAATGGTACAATGGGTTAAACCTTTGTGCCGGTAGGACCGCTGACTGATAGGTCAATAGTTCAAATCTGGGGCGAGTGGGTTGAGCTCCCTCTGTCAGCTCCAGTTCTCCATTTGGGGACATGAGAAAAACATTCCACAAGGATTATTTGTGTGTGTCAGGAGCAACTTGAGAAACTGCAAGTCGCTTCTGGCATGAGAGAATTGGCTGTCTGCAAGGACGTTGCTCAGGGGACACCCGGATGTTTGATGTTTTACCATCCTTGTGGGAGGCTTCTCTCATGTCCCCGCATGGAGCTGGAGCTGACAGAGAGCTCAACCTGCTCTCCCCAGGTTCAAATCTGGGGCGAGTGGGTTGAGCTCCCTCTGTCAGCTCCAGTTCTCATTTGGGGACATGAGAGAAACCTTCCACAGGTCAGGAGTGACTTGAGAAACTGCGAGTTGCTTCTGGTTTGAAAGAATTGGCTGTCTGCAAGGACGTTGCTCGGGGGACACCCGGATGTTTTTACCATCCTTGTGGGAGGCTTCTCTCATGTCCCTGCATGGGGAGCTGGAGCTGATAGAAAGAGCTCAACCTGCTCTCCCCGGATTCAAACCACTGACCTTTGGGTCAGCAGTACTGCCAGCACAAGGGTTTAACCCATTGCGCTACCGGGGACTCCACCCTACAAGGATGGTTAAACATCAAACATCCGGGCGTCCCCTGGGCAACGTCCTTGCAGACAGCCAATTCTCTCACACCAGAAGTGACTAGCAGTTTCTCAAGTTGCTACTGGCATGAAAAAAAAACTCAAAATCACTCATCATATTATAATTGTAATGTAACTTTATTCTGTCTGTTATTAAAGGAAAGGGAAGAATTACATTACTGTCTTTCTTCTGCATCTCTCCTCTATATTTTTATAATATCCTGCCTGCTGAACACACCACTGCTTTCCTTCCCTTCAGCTCCAATTCCATGCTTCTATATTAAGCCGCTTCCTTTCCCTTTGGAAAATACGTGTGCAGTAGTTCTTCTCTAGTCATTATCAATAACCTCTGCATGTCTCCTTTGTCGTGTTATTTCTAGTGTAACACATGCTGAGAATTGCCTGCCTGCTTCTCAAGTGAGATCTTGAATGGCTGACTTGCTTTCTCTAGTTGAGCAGACAGATACATCAGCCAGTGCACAGGAAGCATGGTTCCTACTTTCTTTAATTATCTCATTTGATAGATATTTCTCCTTTGTGCCCATGTATAAGTTTAGACATTTGAGTCAAAAACCAACCCATGGATTCCCACACAGAAAACCTATATGTATTGTCGAAGGCTTTCATGATCGGAATCACTGGGTTGTTGTAGGTTTTTTCGGGCTATATGGTCATGTTCTAGAGGCATTTTCTCCTGACGTTTCGCCTGCATCTATGGCAAGCATCCTCAGAGGTAGTGACTACCTCTGAGGATGCTTGCCATAGATGCAGGCGAAACGTCAGGAGAAAATGCCTCTAGAACATGACCATATAGCCCGAAAAAAACCTACAACAACACAATCTATATGTAGTTTTCCAGCATGAGTTCTATTATTATTATTATTATTATTATTATTATTATTATTATTATTAGTATTATTATTATTATTATTGTGCAGCAATCAGTGTATTTTGTTCAATGTACTGCAGTGGTTCTCAACTTTCCTAATGCCGTGACCCCTTAATACAGTTTTTCATGTTGTGGTGACCCCCAACCATAAAATTATTTTCATTGCTACTTCATAACTGTAATTTTGCTACTGTAATGAATCATAATGTAAATATCTGATATGCAGGATGTATTTTCATTCACTGGACCAAATTTGGCACAAATACCCAATACACCCTAATTGGAATACTGGTGGGGGGAATGAGTTTGTCAGTTGGGAGTTGTAGTTGCTGGGATTGATAGTTCACCTACAATCAAAGAGCATTCTGAATTCCACCAACGATGGAACTGAACCAAACTTGGCACACAAAGCTCCCATGTCCAACAGAAAGTACTGGAAGGATTTGGTGGGAGTTGAGCTTGAGTTTTGGAGTCCACAGAGAGCACTGTGTACTCAAACAATGATAGATCTAGATCAAATTTGTCACAGATAATTCAATATGCTCATGGTGGTCCGCGAGAAGGCCTTACTGGTGCATTTTTTAAACTGTTATGTTTATTCATATCATGATCTGATCACCATGCTCAATATATCCCATATGCATGGGGGTATTGGGGTAACGATACAAAAGGTTTGCTAGAGTAGACCTTCTTTCACGCAGACTCAGCCCCCCCCCCCCCCGAAACAAAATCCTGGCTACGGGCCTGCCATGACATGTGGGAGTTTTAGTTGCTGGGATTTATAGTTTACCTACAATCAAAGAGCTTTGTGAACTCCACCAATGATGCAATTGAGCCAAACTTGGCATACAGAACTCCCATGGCCAACCGAAAATACTGGAAGGGTTTGGTGGGCATTGACTTTGAGTTTTGGAGTTGTAGGTCACCTACATCCAGACAGCACTGTGGACTCAAACAATGATGGATCTGGACCAAAGTTGGTACCTAACTTGGCATGAATCCTCAACGTGTCCGAATGTAAATACCAATTGAGTTTGGAGAAAATAGATCTTGACATTTGGGAGTTGTAGTTGCTGAACTACAAAGAGTATTCTGAACCCCACCAATGATGG